GAGGTGAGTCAGGGGCTGTGAGGCCAGAGGAGCAGTATCTACATATGCCTGGGCGTCTCATACATGGCCCAGGGGAAAGGAAACCTGAAATGTTCCCCAAAGTCACAACAGCAAAGCAGAAGAGAAAGAGAGGAATGTTTCAGGCTCAACTCAAAGCAGGAGCACTGGATTTGTTACAGGGCAAACCCGATATAAAATGGGGTTGCCAGACTGTGGGTACTCACCTGCATTCTTAAAGGGAACTTATTAATGCTAAACTGCAGACAGACATAAAGGTTGATAAAAGGTTTATTTTCAAGGGAAGGAGAAATTGGGAAATAAATAATTCAGGGAGAAAAAGAGGGAGATAAGTTGATAAATGTGTCCTCCTGGTTCCGCTGACCTGGAAACCCAATGACCCACTGAACTGGCCTCGTGGTCAAGCCGGCGACCCCCACCCAGGCCACATGGCCAGTTAAACACCCAAACCAAGAGCCTACTTGCTTAACTCCCCCCTGAGGTCCTCGCAACCTTCCCTTTGGTGATCATGGGATTTGTAGTTCCCAGTGCCGTGGGGGTAGATTCCACAAAGCCTGTATGGAGTTTGCTCAGGACATCCTTTCCCCCTAATAGATTCACCGGGTCTGGTTGTGGGGAAGTGACATTATTGACATCTTTGAGCAGAGTTTCTCAGATATTGGCTGAATCTGGATCACCTGGGAGTCCTGGGCTGGGCTCCATACATCTCTCCCACCCCCAGAGATTCTGATTCAGAGATCAGGATACATGCAAATGTTTGAATTTCTGACAGTTCCCAGGTGGTGCTGATCCTACTCTAGATATTTAAAAGAGGCATGAGAAACTCAAGGTCTCTTCCCAGCTAAGACGAATAATGACTCCATAAGGTTGGAAATTCCTGTGCGCAGGAAGACAGGGCATCATGCTGATGACTGCAGAGGCTGGGGGGAGTTGAGGTCTGACCCTATTGTCCCATCTCTGTGCTGGGTTCTTGTTCTTGAAGTTTCTTTCTTTGCCAACTTCTGTGATGAGAAGGCAATTTTGCCTTTGCTTCTGCAATGCTTCTGAACACAGATCTTCAAGACTCTACCATCTTTCATGTTTTGTAAGGAGAAACATTTTTCCGAGTTAACTGAAAGCAGGAGGAAAAATCCAACATGTTCCCAACACCCCCCAGATCCCATTCCTGTTGCCTCAGTCCCAGGCTTCTTTGAGAAATACTTTTTGTTCAGTGACATCTTCTCCTTTGCAATTCATGGAAAAATGGAATTGTCTCCCCATCAGGAACACCATCCTGTAACTTCCCACATAGAAAAGTCAATTGTGGGTTCTTAATCACTTGTTACATCTGCTCTATATTATGATTGTGACAAATTTTTCAAATCAGTGGAAGACTAGAGACACTGGAACTTGCAACAAAACAGAAATTCTGGAATAAAGTTCAAAATGACTGTTTTTATAAGATATACAGTTTTGGCTCCTTTGAAATATTAACTCTCTGAAATTAGCATTTTTGTTGGACAAATATAGTCAAATATTTCCTGCATCCTATAATTGCTTACAGATAACAAAATCATACATACATATTCTAATTATGTATACACAAAATATATATATAAATATTCCTTTATCTCTATATTTAAGTAAAATATAGCAAACAATAAATATATATTCTATTTCCATACACATTCTATTTTAATAACACAATCATATGTATCATTATGCTATTATCATTATTATATCATTACACTATTATCATTATACTATGCTATCAACTGATTATACTAAATTTAATTTTATATTAAACAGCACAAAAAGTACATTAAATTCTATTTTGCTTAGTTATTTATCCTAATCAATATATACTTAATGTTGGAATCTATCCATAAATTTTATACACACAACATATTATATATTTAGGAAATATAGGAATGCAAATTTAGGATATTTAAATATAATATATACATAGGTATCTTAATAGTAAGCTAATTTTAAATATATTATATACTAATGACCTACATAATAATTATACATACTCCAAGTCTACTTATGTATATAATATGAAAAGTTTACCATTTTAATTTCATATATATCTTAATTTCATATGGCACTTAATTTATACACATCCTTATTATATATGCAGTTAGGTGGCCCCGATACAAAACAGGGTGCCTGACTGTGGGTCCTCACCCGCGCGCTTAAAAGGACTTATCAATACTCTACTGCAGGCACACGCGGAACGTTAATAAAAGGTTTGTTTACCAGGGAAGGGCGAATGAGGAAATGGACAACTCAGGGAGAAAAGAAGGAGACAAAGTTTTAAATGCGTCCTGCCTGATAAGCCGATCTGGAATCCCAAAGGGCACTCTGAGAGCTGGCCGCAAGCCAGGAGCCGTGAAGCCGGGAGGCGAGCGAGAGAGTGAGCCCCCGAAGGCCCTCGTGTTTGGTTTTTATACCACACCTGGATGCTTAACTCCACCCTCAGGTCCCAGCCACCTTCCCTTTGGTGGTGACAGAATTTGTCTTTCCCAATGTCCTGATGGCTTTGGTCTGGAGTGGGGGTGGTGTCCACAAAGCCTGCATGGAATTAGCTCAGGACATCCTTTCCCCCTAACAAAAGGATTGGGGCAGTAAAGGAGAGCCAGGCTGCGTATCTCACAGGCAAGAAATTTATTGCGCTCACTGGGTGAGGTTTGCTGTTGGGGGATAAGGGCAAGTTTTTATAGGGCGGGGTCTGGCCTTGGTAGGAGGTGGAGAATGCAGAGTGGGGTCTGTCCTTGGGGGGAGGTGGAGAATGCAGAGCGGAAGTTGCTTTTCAAAGAAGTTTTTTTTCTCTCAGAACTGGTTGTTCTTCCAATGCTGCTTATCAGGGTCGGTGCAAACCAGGCAGAGCCGGCTCCCTGGATGCAGGTCGCAGCAGTTTCAAGTTCCCCGCCTCAGCGCCCATCTCTGCCCCAGCCTCGACCTTACAAGGGCCTTTTGGACACAGGAACTGTGTTCCCTTGGTCCTTTATGGTTGATGTCAAATCAAGGACAAGAAAACAAACACAAACCCAAGCCCAAACAATAGAGGATGCTGAGCCAGGCCTCACAGCTCAGCAGGAGGCTGCACTGGCCCCTGGTGTCACCTGTGCCATGTTGCTCGTTTGGACCTGAGCATAGAACCACTCTCCAGAGGGCAATTGTGGGCACTAATTTATTGTTTCGACAACACTGATTTATTCAGTAAAACACCTGCCAATGCCTGAAGGGGACAATGACTCAGGACTCCTCCCACAAGTCAATTCCTCTTATTCATGTTGATATTTCTGGGAAATTCCCCCAAGACAGAAGCCCTCAGGAAAGATTCAAGGATCCTCTGTTCTCATTGGCCCCTGCTGGGGGAGAGTCAAGGGATGGCCCACAGGCCCAGCAAGGGCTTCTCAAAAATTCTTGGCATGGACTGGCCAGGGTCAATGACAAAGATCTCCAGAAGAACCCAGGCTACAGATCTTCCCTGCAATGGCCCCACAATAAGTTTGTGTGTGTGAGCACACACACACATGCACACACAAAACACACTCCCACAAGTACAGGCTCCCGCAAAGTCCAGGGCCGTGCTGGGGCCTCTGCCTCTTAACTGGGTCACCAGGCCTGGTGTGCCCAGACTCACAGCCTGCCCCTCTGAGCTGCCCAGTATCGTCCTAATTGTGGATTCTCAGCGTGTCCTGGCAGGGCAGGAGTCACTCTGATGAGACAGGCCTGCACACTGTGGTCAGCTTCCCCTGGAGGACAACTGGGCATTCTGATCCTTTGGAAACATGGACTTTCTGGAGTTTGTGGGCACAGGAACATGAACACTTGCTATGCCCATGTGTGGGGAGGAGCGCTTTCCCATGAGAGGTCTGTCCTCCAGCTGTCCACACAGTTCCTGTTTTTGCTGTGGCCACATGATAGGCAGCTGTGTCTTCTATCACCTGCCCTGAAGCCCCTTGAGCTGTGCATCCACACAACAGTGTGCATCCACACACACAACAGTGCGCATCTCACTCCAAGGGCTTTCCCTCAACATCTCCTGGTGGAACCAATCAGATTTCCCTCTCTAAGAACAAATACCCTATTGCATAGAAAGGGAACCCACAGTGAATGTCTTTGTATGAAAATAGCTGGGCAGAACATAAAGTCACCCCTTACACAGTTCCATCCTAGGAAACCCCAGGCAGGAGTAAGAATAGAGGCAGCAGGCAGTTGAGGGTCTGTGGGGGGCTGGGCAGAAAGTGGTTTGGGGCCGCCCCGGTGGTGAGGTGGTTGAGCGCTGGGTTGCGATGCTGACCGCGGCCTCTGTGGCACTGGTTCGATCCTCGGCTGCTCCCCGGCCACAGGAGGAGGGTCCCACATGGCGCGCAGACCTCTCCTGCCGCCCGCTGCTCCCCTCAGCAGTGTACTTCGGTCCTTCTGCCTGCTCTGCTCCCCGCTCTGGCTCTGGTGGATTCTCTCACCCTCCCGCGCTTCTGACTGTACCCAGTGCATGTATAAACAGAACAAACAAACAAATAAATAAATAAAATAAAATAAAATAAAAACATAAAAAAAGAAAGTGGTTTGGCCACAGGGTCCCACTGGGGACATCATCTTCTGCAAGTAGGTAGTGAGAAGGTAGTGTGAAGGCACTGGATGCCAAGGAGTGGACAACTCAGCTAAAATGAACACAAACTTTATTAACATTAACGCAATAAACAAAACTTATAGGAAATAAAATCAAAACTGAACTTGAAATAAATTAGAATCAAAAATTAAGGACTATAAGAGGGCTGGGCCTTTGTTGGTAGAGGCGAGTTTGAAGATCAACGAAGGTGTGTGGCTGGGAGGTGGGTGAGGAAGGGTTTGGGAAGCAACAGCATTGAGTTGTCAGCTGCTCCTGGAGCAGGCACAGGCAGGATGTGGGGCAAAGGATTGGGTCCTTTGAGGGGTAGTGTCAGAGGTAGCCCCCTCTGGTTTTCCTGCAGGATCCCTGCAGTGGCTGCTTCCCCAGGCAGGGCTGTTGTGAGGTTACACCTTCTTGTCTAACCTGTGTGATGTTGCCCAGGACCAGGTTGCTCCATCAGGTCTGGTCTGAGCTTAGCATGTCCTGTGCTCTTGGGCCAGGTCCTTGCCCCCCCTACTGGGGTGCTATCTTCTCGGCAGCCTCAGGACATCCAGCAGGAGGTGGGTCTGGGTCTGTCTCCCCCAGCAGGGGTGGGGTGAGCTCATCCCCAGCAGGCTGTACTGAGTCTTCCAGGCCCAGGCCTGGCTCTGCCTGCTGTGGTGGTGTCATTGTGGCAGCCTCAGGTCATCCAGTGGGAGGTGGGTCTGGGTCTGCCTCCCCCAGCAGGGGTGGGGTGAGCTCACCCCCAGCAGGCTGTCCTGAGTCTTCCATCCCCTGGGGTGCTTCCCCCAGCAGAGGTGCTATGAGTCCAGCTGCCTGGGGACCTCCTTCAGGACCCTGGTCAGTGTCAAGCTGACCCTTCAGCGGTAGAGTGAGCTTCAGGTACTCAGGAGTACCTATAGCAACCTGAATGGCTTTTGATGGCCCCAGCTCGCCTGCTGGGGGTACATGTCCCTGAGGAACATCATATAAAAAAGCTGATTCTCCAGTCTCTTCTGCACATTTGATGTCAGTTTCTGTTGAATCACTGGTTTGGCTCAGCTCCTGGACTGTCGGAAGACATTCAGAGGAGTCCGACTGTTCTGTTTGAGACAGAGCTGGAGAAGCAACAGAAGAAACCATCAGCTACACGACAGACTGTTACATACCTTTGCAAACAGACCACATCCCACAGCCCTGAGGCCTGTCCAGCCCAGCCCAGTGGCACCCAGGCATTTGCCCCCTAAATCTGGCAGCTAGAGTTCCTAGAACTGACAGCTGCTGGGGCTTATCCAGCCTGTGCGGTCTCCTCCCAGGGGGATATGAACCTCCCCCACCCAACTGGTCCTGGGCACCCCCTTCTGGGCTACTCACTCTCTGGCATCTCCTCCACAGTCTCCAGGTCGTGCTGCCAAGACCTGTGGACCTGGGCCAGAGTCTGAAAGCTGTGGTTCCCTTTCGTGTGGTCCTTGGGTCTCAAAAAGAGCCTTTCCCGGTATTTGGGAGGTGAGTAGTTATGTTTTATCAGCATATCTTGAATTTGCATGTCAGAGACCACCTCCTAGAAATAAACACACACATACCTGTAAGGCGGAAGCCAGGTGGGGCAAGATGGAGCAGTGATGGCTCTTGGGGCATCCTACCAGCCAGGCAGTTCCTGGGTGTGACCTTGATCCACATCCTGGGTGGGACAGCCCCTTCCCAAATGAGCACGCACACACTCACCACAGACCCCCCCACCCCACAACACAAGCACAAACAGGGTCTAGACTGGGTCGGGGGAATCAGAGTGGTGGCCTGGCCTGGCCTGTTCAGGGCTCCCCTGGTTACCTCGGGGGCAACTCTGACTAAAGACTTGCAACATCCACACAGCTTCCTAAAGCATTTCAGGAAAGCATGCCACAAGTTTCTTTGGCCTTTTTTTGAGCCACTTTCAGTGGATCTGGGCCAACAACAACAACAACAGCAAGACATCTTGTCTCGTCCTAGACCTCAAGACAAATGAGCTGGGTTGGGTTTGTTGTCAGAACCTGGTGACCAGGTTCCAAGTTCTGTGGGGTGCCATGGCAGGGCAGTGATGTTACTATCAAGGGCTCCTTTCCCTGCACTTCCTGCTCAGATAAGAGCCCCCCCACCCCCGCCATCCATGGCTGCTTCCTTTTGCCCCTCCATGTCAAGCCCAGTCCACACCACTGACACCAGCACAGCCTCCTGAAGCCCTTGGATGGTCAGGTGCAGCCAGGGCCCAGCTGGAACACAGGTCACTAGCTGCTGACTTGGCTACTCCTAAGCAAGTAGGAGACCATTGGGCATCCTTTGCTCTAGGTCCCTGTTTCCCATGGATCCAGTTGGGCAGTTTAGAGACACAAGCTAGGGAGGACCTGGGGTTGGCGCAATCGCCCTGCTGCCCTTGGAGAGGAGGCTGGTGTCTGCTGGGACTCAGGCTCACACTGACATGGAGGGATGAAAAGTCCCAAGGGATGGGTTTTCCACTCCTAGAGTGAGTGATGATTGGAAGGTAGCCTATGTCAATCATCCTTTTCTGAGTCTCATTCTCTAAATCACCCATTCTGTCCTTGTAACTTTACTATAACTCTTACAGGGCAAAGAGAGGGGCACCCCAGAACCCCCATTTCTGCCTGCTCTAAAAAGTATATGTCATCTGCCGCATCAAGACAAAACATGTAAGACCTTTAACATTAAAAACTTTAATACAACGAGTGTGCAATACAGAATAGACAATGAATATAGTCTCTAAATCAAGCACCTGAAGTTTGTAAATGTCCTGCCAAACAGGGTGGCCCAAAGCAGGGCCACTGAAGCCCAAAAGCCTGCCATAAATCCAAAGCACCTTCTAGAAGGGACCCACAGAAAAAGGTCGGAAACAGCCAGACTAGTCTGGGAGGAAAAAACAAAATCAAAATCAAAACCAAGATAAATGTTGCCATTGTTTACATACCAGAGCCTGTTTTTCATAGATTAGGAAGATCAGAAATTAATTAGATGCTAGTTGCAAAAAAAGTATGGGTAAATTCATTGTTGACCTGTGTCTTAGCACCATAAAGTTGATTTCAGGCTTAGTCAGTTTTCAAAAAAAAGGCAGTCTCCTATAATATTTAAAAGTTTACTTGATATAAAGTGTGGGGAAATATTGACTAGTAACCCTGAGACCATTAGTTTGTGTTGAAAGGAAGTACAGTTTTAGAATATGTATTTTAGAGAGTAGAGTTTGTCATTTAAAGTTGTAAACTATGCTTGTCACCAATAATTGGAATGGCCCAACCAATAGGGCCATCCATGGGATCCTTGACTCCTGGCTGGGACCTCTTGATCTTACTGTGATTAATCAGTGTATGAAAATTGAGCATTCTTGGAAGAGAAGGGGATTATTCCTCTTCACACAATTCTATCCAAGTAAATGTTAAAAACTTGCCTTTAGCAGATAAAGATACAAAGCAAATCCTTTGTCCCACAACAGGTTTGCCTGTTTCCCTGCGCTGGATGAAGTTGGGTAACTGAATACTGACATTCTGGGTAAAGTTTGAATAGGATCACCTCCTGTGGATGACCCAATGCAGTCCACACTTTGACAGTACAAAGCCTAACTATGTTTTTTTTTTTCTTTTTGTTTGCTTTCTCCCTTGTCTTTTTTTTAATTTTTGAGTTCTGTTTAACTTTTTATTATGAAAAATCTCACATTTTTTAATAAAATGAAAGACTAGCACAGTGAGCATACTGCCCCACCACCACTTGCCAACCTTTTAATCAATCCAATCTTTGTGAAGTACAGTATTTTTTATTGCCCAAAATTTTATTTAATTTTTTGGGTTACATTTTTGTTCTTCCATATGTGCTCATGTTCCACTTACCCTTCCACCAAAATACCTGTACCCACACCCCATCTGCCTCCTTCCTCTACCGTTCTCTTTTCTGTCCTTTGTTGTGGGTGCAGAATTCTTCTTTCTCCAGAGAACACAGCTTTTGCGATGACTCTTGAATTCTAAAAGGTCAATTCAGTGCCCCTGCCAGCTAGAATCTGTTGATTGTTGGGTTGTTCTCCACCTCTGGGAATGCAGTGTCAGTGGGTGAGATGGAGGGGTAGTTTAAAGATCCTTGATGCCTTCCTTGCTGGCCCCAAATGAGGAAGACCTTTATGTCTCTGGGTTTGTAGGGGTGGGGTAGGGAACAACACTGTGGTCCTACAGATATACGTAGGAATTTGAGAGGAAGATGAATTAAATGTTACAAATGGAGGCTAATCTGTCCATTAATAAGCACCTTCTTCTAGAGAGGTCTAATAAGGATTCATGGAGTTGACAATTAGGCTTTTTTTTTTTAATTTATCATTGCTTCTGGCATCTTATCTCCCAAAGACCCCACAAGATATTTTAAATTACATATTGAATTTAGTCCATCATTTCCTTGTTTGTCATTTATCACTCACAAAAGGTTGGTGCAACTGATGGCTTAAAGCTGATACTCTGGTAACCAGAAAACCTGGTTTTCATACTGCTCTTATTGAATACACTCAGTTACAAATTTGTGACTAGCATAGCCTGATTCATTCTGTTAGGTGTGAAGAAATGTCTTCAAAATTTAGAGTGCTAGATCTCTAACCATGTTTCAGGAATTCCTGAGTTTGGCACTAAATGTTTTCTTACTGGCTCGAATACACCTCTTCCCTAGCTCATCAACAATCCCTTCCCTTTTGAAATCACTGTGAATGCCATCTTATGTGTAAAGTTCCAGTTTTTTATTGAGTCACAATAGTATTACATCAGTGGTTAAAAACCATCATTTCAGTTTCTTTTTTTTTTTTTTTTTTTTAATAAATTTTATTGTTATATTCCCCATACAATTGCAGCCCCCCCATTCTGACCCCAATCCCTCCCCTCCCACCCCGCCCCCCTAAAAGTGTCTCTGGTTCATAGTTTTTTGTTGATTTTGATTTTCACTTTCTTATAGTTATTCATTTTCCTGGTCCCTTATTTAAGTTTTCTAGATTCCTGCTATGAGTGAGACCATCCGGTATTTTTCTTTTTCTTTTTGGCTTATTTCGCTGAGCATGATCCCTTCCAGCGCCATCCATGTTGCTGCAAATTGCATGTGTTTATCTTTTTTGAATGCTGAGAAATATTCCATGGTATATATGTACCACATCTTCTTGATCCAGCCATCTACTTTTGGGCATTTGGGTTGTTTCCAAAGCTTAGCTATTGTAAACAGTGCTGCTATAAACATAGGGGTGCAGGTGTTCTTTGGAATTGATGTTTCTGTGTCCTTTGGGTAAATACCTAGGAGTGGAATTGCTGGATCATATGGAAGCTCTATGTTTAGTAGGTCCAGAAATCTCCATACAGCTTTCCACAGTGGTTGGACCAGTTTGCACTCCCACCAACAGTGCAGAAGAGTTCCTTTTTCTCCACACCCTCGCCAACATTTGTTGTTGCTAGTTTTTTTAATATGTGCCATTCTCACTGGTGTAAGATGGTATCTCATGGTAGTTTTGATTTGCATTTCCCTGATGACAAGTGATGTTGAACATTTTGTCATATGCCTGTTGGCCATTTGCATTTCCTCTTCAGAGAAGTTTCTTTTAAGCTCTTCTGCCCATTTTTTGACTGGATTATTTTCTTTGTTGTTGTTGAGTCTCATCAGCTCTTTACAGATTTTTGTGATCAGTCCTTTATCATTAGTGTTGGGTGCAAAAATGTTCTCCCAGTTGGTGGGGTTTCTCTTTGTTTTTGTTATTGTCTCTTTTGCTGTGCAAAAGCTCTTTAATTTGATGTAGTCCCAGCTGTTTATCTTTGCCTTCACTATCACTGCTTTGGGTGATGTGTCTGTAAAGATGTCTTTGATGTGCAAATCACGTAGTGTTTCGCCTATATTTCCTTCTATATATTTTATGGTTTCAGGTCTTATGTCTAGTTCTTTAATCCATTTTGAGTTGATTTTTGTGTATGGTGTGAGGTGGTGGTCAAGCTTCATTCTTTTGCATGTAGCGACCCAATTTTCCCAGCACCATTTATTGAACAAACTTTCTTTGCTCCAATGCATATTCTTTGCTCCTTTGTCAAAGATTAGTTGACCATAAATCTGTGGGTTTATTTCTGGATTTTCTATTCGATTCCATTGGTCTGTATGTCTGTTCTTGTTCCAATACCATGCAGTTTTGATGATTATGGCTTTGTAGTATAGTTTGAAGTCTGGGAGTCTGATGCCTCCATTCCCTTCTTTTTTTTTCAGGAGAGCTTTGGCTATTCGGGGTTTTTGGTGATTCCATATGAATTTCATCAATAATTGTTCTATTTCTTTGAAGAATGACATTGAAATTTTGATTGGAATAGCATTGAATCTGTATATTGCTTTTGGTAGGATGGCCATTTTAATAATGTTTATTCTTCCAATCCATGAGCAGGGGATGTCTCTCCATTTCTTTGTGTCTTCTTCTATTTCTTTTAACAGTGTTTTATAGTTTTCTTTGTATAGGTCCTTTACCTCTTTTGTTAGATTTATTCCCAAATATTTGATTTTTTTTGTTTCAATAACAAAAGGGATGGTCTTTTTGATTTCTTCTTCTTCAGATTTATTGTTTGTGTATAGGAAGGCTACTGACTTTTGCGTGTTGATTTTGTATCCTGCCACTTTACTGAACTGATTGATGAGTTGAATTAGCTTTTCTGTGGAGTTTTTGGGTTCTCTATGTATAATATTATATCGTCTGCAAATAGTGATAGTTTGACTTCTTCTTTTCCTATTTGGATTCCTTGGATGTCTTTCTCTTGTCTTATTGCCCTGGCTAGGACTTCCAGTATTATATTGAAAAGCAATGGTGAGAGTGGACATCCTTGTCTTGTTCCAGATCTTAATGGAATTGCTTTCAGCTTTTCACCATTGAGAATGATACTGGCTGTTGGCTTGTCATAGATGGCCTTTATGATGTTGAGGTATGTTCCTTGTATCCCCAGAATTTCAAGGGCTTTTATCATGAATGGGTGTTGCACTTTGTCGAAA